CCGTCATGAACAGCTGCGGGGAGGGTGCGAGCGGGGAAGGCGGGGGGTCACATGAAGGTCAGGCGGCCGGACGCCAGCCTGGGCCCGCAGATAAGGGGGCCACGCCCGCAGGGCCGGGGGAATGAGGCAGATAGCGCCGGGGCGTGGGGCTGCGGAGGAGGACTTGTCTCCCACTTCTCCCCTCCCTCCTAGGTCAGCCCCCTTCCAGAACGTTCGGCCAGGAACACCTAGTGGGGCTTCCAGGTGCCTGAGATTGTTCTGTGTATTGATGGGAACAACAGACAGACACCCCTGGATCGTACCCTCCGCATCCATGGAGGCGCCTCCTAGTCCTGTTTCTGGGACATGTGTGGTGATCGTGGTGGGCATACCGTTAGCCACGACCACAGCTAACACCGAGGGGGCATTTGGATGTGCAGGGCACTGCGTACATGTTGTGACTCAGTGAACGCTCCCAGCACATGGGGTTGGAAGCGTTATTACCCCCTATTTTATAGGTGTGGGAGCTGAGCCCCAGTTCCCCAGGTCCCCCAGGTTGGCAGTGGCACCTCCAGACCTCCAGGCTACAAACCCAGGGCACTTCACTGCTCACATGACTGCTGTGAGCAAGAACGTGTACTTTTTACCAAGCACCGTTTACACACCAGCCTGCGAGGGACATTACTGCACATGGCCAATAGCCCCATTCGCATGGGGGAAGGGAGGAGGGAACAGGACCTGGGGGTGGGGGTGCATCTGAGGCGGCCAGGGGTGGAGAGACATGACACTGGAGGGAGAAAGGGGTGGGAAGGGCTCCTGAGTCAGGGGGACATTGGCACAGAGGGGAGCTCAGGAGTGGGGAAGGGCCTGTGGGCACACACCCGGGGTCACGGGTTGCTTGGGATCGGAATAGGTGGGGTCTCAGGGATGGAGGACAGAGATCTGAGAGGCTGGGCCTGGAGTGAGGCCGCCTGGGGGCAAGTGGACAGGGGCCTGGGGCAGGAGCTCAGCATCCGTGAGTGTGCAGGGGAGACGGGGCTGCAGGTGGAGGAAGGGACGGGGCTGCTCCAGGAGGCCCTGTTGGTCTGTCCACGGTTCATCCTATCCCAGTGGGTGAGGGTGTGGACGCATCTCAGGGCAGAGGAACCTCATTACTCAGCCCAGGAGGAGGAGGAGGAGGATGGAAAGTGTGAGCTGACAGGGCGTGGTGGGGGCTGGCGGCAAAAGGAAGGGGTTGGGGCGGGGCCCACCCTACCTGGACCTCTTTGGCATGGAAGGCCAAGATGAAACAAAGGAGCAAGAAGGTGGAGATGCTGATGGTGCACTTAACCAGGAACAGGTAGGACGCCCACTGTTCGGAGAGAGAGAGAAAGGGGTGAGATCCCAGGTCTCTCTGCCCATCAGTCTCCTCTACCTTCCTCCCAAACAGCCTTTTCTTCTCATTTCCCAATTTCCTAACAGTGTTCGGCAAACTGCGGCTCGCGAACCACATGTGGCTCTTTGGCCCCTTGAGTGTGGCTCTTCCACAAAATACCGACTTCTGCGCATGGGCCACGCCAAGATGAAACAAAGGAGCAAGAAGGTGGAGATGCTGATGGTGCACTTAACCAGGAACAGGTAGGACGCCCACTGTTCGGAGAGAGAGAGAAAGGGGTGAGATCCCAGGTCTCTCTGCCCATCAGTCTCCTCTACCTTCCTCCCAAACAGCCTTTTCTTCTCATTTCCCAATTTCCTAACAGTGTTCGGCAAACTGCGGCTCGCGAGCCACATGTGGCTCGTGAGCCACAGTTTGCCGACCACTGAATGGATACTTAGGCTCTCTGCCTGGAGAAACGCTTTCATTCTCATAATAACCTTTTGGGCCATGAGATAACATATTAAGAAAGAAATGTTATATGGAAGATAGAAATCCCCAAGCAGCGAACGTACCTCAATCAGATTGAGGACGTTTTTAGCAAAGGCCAGCTTAGGAGGACCCTAATGAAGTTAATAACAATGTACCTACCAATATAGTTTAAGTTTAAAAAATTCGGCTCTCAAAAGAAATCTCAATCATACTATTGATATTTGGCTCTGTTGACTAATGAGTTTGCCGACCACTGTCCTAGACCCCTTTCCCCACAAACCGCAACCCAGTGTCTCCCGACATCTCAGTTCTGGGAAGTCTCAGAACCATCACCTGGTCCCCATCCTTTCCAATTGGACAGCCCTGGCCGGTGCCTCCTCCTCAGCTCTTCTCCTAGGACCCACATCCCTTAGGGGAGAACTTGAAATTCACATTCCTTCTTCATTCCCGTCCACTTCCCCATCAAAAATAGTTCCTCAGCCTGGCCATGGTAACTCAGTGGCTGAGCATCGACCAAATGAACCAGGAAGTCATGGTTCAATGCCTGGCCAGGGCACATGCCCAGGTTGTGGGTTTGATCCCCAGTAGGGGGTGTGCAGGAAGCAGCCAATCAATGATTCTCATTGATGTTTCTCACTCTCCCTCTCCCTTCCTCTCCGGAAGGTGCAGAGTGGACAGAGGCCTGGGTGCAGGAACCCAGCATCCATGAGTGTGCAGGGGAGATGGGGCTGCAGGTGGAGGAAGGGATGGGGCTGCTCCAGGAGGCCCTGTTAGTCTGTGTTCCTCAGTGTTGTGTGTATGTGGGGTGTGTGCCTGCACAGCCCCAAATCACTAGAGAGCTGCTTGCCTGCCTCACCCCCAAAACCCAGAAGCAGACATTTGGCCTCTAAAGAATGCCCCCTCCCCTCCCGTTCCCTTCCCACCCAGCTGGTCTTGCCCTAGAAAGCAACTTCAAGTCCCACCCCCAGGCCCCCATTCTCAAGGAGCCTAGAAACCATCACTCAATCCCCAAGGAATGAAGGACACCCTCCCCTGCCCTCACACGGGGGGCTGAGTCCCCGAGAGACTCGGAGAAAGACCCTCCCTCCCCCCGTCCTGTGTCCTGCCTCTCCTCTCCCTGACCTAACGCCCTCTCTCCTGGCTCTACGCCCAGGGCAAGCTGGCCGGAAGCACATGGCCCCCAGAAACCACGGCGAAGGCTTTTCCCTCTTTGTGTGGCAATACCTTGGAGGAATCTAGAATTTCTGAGGGAAGGACTGAGAGGGGACTGGGACTGCTAGATTCCCTAGGAGGGGCTGGGGGGGTGACTTGTTTGGAGGGTGTTGTCAGGGGAGTGAGACCACCTGGGCTCCCACCTGGGCTCCCCCTGTTTCTCCTAAGACACCTGTTTCTCCTAAGACACCTGTTTCTCCTAAGATGCTGCCAGCTCCCCTGGAGGGGGCAGGGCCCCCCTCTGTGCAGGGGAAGAGAGCCAGTTTCCTGCTCCTGGGGGCCTGCCCTCCCCCCCACCCCCAGCCTGAACAATGGTGCTGTTGTCTACAGCCCTCCCCCACCCCTTCATCCTTCTCTGGAACCTCATTCCCTGTCTCTTTCCTTAGTTTGTCCCAAACGCTGCCCAACTAGACGCAACCCGCCTCCCCACACCGCAGCTGCACTTCTCCGAGGTCATGTCTACTCTTCCAATTCCCGGACACTCCCCCACCCGCTCTGGGATCTCTGTCTTGCTCGCCTTCATTCTGGACCCGGGCCCCTGCCTCTCCTCCAGTCCCGCGCCCCTGGGGAGCAGGTGTCTGGGTCCCTGTGCAATAGGGATTGAGCTGGAGGTGGGGAGGGGGCATGGCTGCTCTGAAGGCAATCGGAGAAACGGGGCTGCGGACCCCGAGGGTCACGGAGGACCCTCACCCCGTTACAGATGGGAACGAGGCTGAGGGAGCCTCACTGCTGGAGGCAGAAGCCTGGCAGGTGGAAAAGGAAAGGAAGACATGAGAGAGAGGAGGTGGATGGAGGGGGTAGAAGTGACCCCCTTGTCCCTTCATATCTGCCAGGGTTCCCATGCCCTCACATCCCCTGCTGGGCGGGGTGCTGGAGCGGGGAGCGGTGGGCAGGCTCGGCCATGCTTCCTGTTGGCATGGGCTTCAGCTGCCCCACCCCCTCTCTTCTTGGCCTCCTGGCCGGAGGAAACCAGTCTGCCCTGACCTTCCATGGGGCTCCTGGTCACTACAGAGCTGCCTGCCTCCCTCACCCCCAAATCCCAAGCTTGAGCCTCCATCCCCCAAGATCCCTCCTCAAATCAGTGCCCCCCTGGACCAGCCCGATTCCACATCCCTTCAGCCAGACTGGTCTCCAACCCCTCCTTTCCTGTTGAGCAATTCTGTTCTGTCCTCAAGCCACTAATTCCGACCCGTGTCCTCCCTGTGCCCCTTCGCTGCCCCGCTGACCACGGCTGGAATGTGCCGGGAGCCTGCTTAGACTTGTCGGGGCCCCACCTGTCCTTTCTCTTTCCATTCACTGTCCTCAGTCAGATCCTTCCCCAAAAGATGCTCTAGGCCTCCTCCTTCAGACCGGGAGGCCAGGCCCTTCTCCCCTCCTCCCCGGGGACCAGGAGGCCAGGCTACTATACACCTACTTCTCCATTAGTTCCCAGATTAAACAGCATATAGATTCTGAGGAAGCTGGGCTTCTTAATGATAGAGAAGGGTCAGGGTGTGTGTGTGTGTGTGTGTGTGTGTGTGTGACCATTTCCCGCCCCCACCCCAGCCAGTTTCTTCTGGCTTCTACCCTGAGTGCTGAGGTTCTGGGTAAACGTTCAGGTTTAGATAAGGACCAAGGAGCCACCCGCCTACTGGGAGAAGCTAGTTTCTCTCCTCGCCCTCCCTTCACCAAACCAAGGGTTGCCGCTCCCCTAATCTGCTCGTGGGGGACTTGAGTATCTGATCAGCCCCTTCCCCTGACTCCAGGGGTCCTGGACCTCCAGCTGTCTAATGGCAATGCCTTCAAAGGCCGAGACACTGAGACCCCTTGTCCCTTCATTATGCAGAGAGGACCTCCAGTCGTTGCCTCCCTGGATCCCAAACTCCAGCCCTCAGTCACCTCTGCCCTCAGACCAGGAGTCTTAGCCCCCAGCGCCCTCCTCCCTCAGACCCAGGGGTCCAGGCCCCCAGCCCCTCCTCCCTCAGACCCAGGGGTCCAGGCCCCCAGCCCCTCCTCCCTCAGACCCAGGGGTCCAGGCCCCCAGCCCCTCCTCCCTCAGACCCAGGGGTCCAGGCCCCCAGCCCCTCCTCCCTCAGACCCAGGGGTCCAGGCCCCCAGCCCCTCCTCCCTCAGACCCAGGGGTCCAGGCCCCCAGCCCCTCCTCCCTCAGACCCAGGGGTCCAGGCCCCCAGCCCCTCCTCCCTCAGACCCAGGGGTCCAGGCCCCCAGCCCCTCCTCCCTCAGACCCAGGGGTCCAGGCCCCCAGCCCCTCCTCCCTCAGACCCAGGGGTCCAGGCCCCCAGCCCCTCCTCCCTCAGACCCAGGGGTCCAGGCCCCCAGCCCCTCCTCCCTCAGACCCAGGGGTCCAGGCCCCCAGCCCCTCCTCCCTCAGACCCAGGGGTCCAGGCCCCCAGCCCCTCCTCCCTCAGACCCAGGGGTCCAGGCCCCCAGCCCCTCCTCCCTCAGACCCAGGGGTCCAGGCCCCCAGCCCCTCCTCCCTCAGACCCAGGGGTCCAGGCCCCCAGCCCCTCCTCCCTCAGACCCAGGGGTCCAGGCCCCCAGCCCCTCCTCCCTCAGACCCAGGGGTCCAGGCCCCCAGCCCCTCCTCCCTCAGACCCAGGGGTCCAGGCCCCCAGCCCCTCCTCCCTCAGACCCAGGGGTCCAGGCCCCCAGCCCCTCCTCCCTCAGACCCAGGGGTCCAGGCCCCCAGCCCCTCCTCCCTCAGACCCAGGGGTCCAGGCCCCCAGCCCCTCCTCCCTCAGACCCAGGGGTCCAGGCCCCCAGCCCCTCCTCCCTCAGACCCAGGGGTCCAGGCCCCCAGCCCCTCCTCCCTCAGACCCAGGGGTCCAGGCCCCCAGCCCCTCCTCCCTCAGACCCAGGGGTCCAGGCCCCCAGCACCTCCTCCCTCTGACTCAGAGTCCAGGCCCCCCAACCCCTCCTCCCTCAGACAAAAGTCCAGGCCCTCAGGCCCCTCCTCCCTCTGACCCCTCTGACCCAGGAGTCCCAGCCCCCAGGCCCCTCCTCCCTCTGACCGGGGAGTCCCAGCCCCCAGCCTCCGGTGGCCCAGAATGAGTTTCACTCACCGTGCACCCTCCGAACCACAGCATCTCCGCGTGTAGCACCATGAGCCCGATGCCAATTCCCGCCAGTGTCAGTGCCCAGCAGGCCAGCCACTTCTCCTGCTCCAGCAGGCGCTTTCGCCGCCGAAGGGCTCCCAGGCCAGGCACCAGCTCCCCGCCCATGGCCCCCTGGGTCTTGGGACTCAGCCAGCTTCCTGCCCAGGGTCCCCCACCTCGCAGCACACAAAGGGCAGCCACTGTGGCTTGCAGGTCCTCAGCCTGCTACGCTCAGTTGCTCTGGGGCTCTCGCTTTGAGGCACAGGGAGCCGGTGCCCTCTGGGGGTGGTGTCTGCTGGGCAGGGCAGGGAGGGGCCGGGAGGCCCTTGGGCAGAGGGGAGGCTCCCCAACCCCGCTTCTCAGACTAAGGAAGGGCTGGAGTGTGTCTTGGAGCAGAGCAAGGAAGATTCGTGCATCCTCGTGGATGAAGGCACACTGACCCAATGGTCACACACAGCGGCCTGCACTGTGTAACACACACCTACATCTAGCCACGCCCAGGCACCATGTGACACCAGCACACCCAGCGTGGTCAGAGACAGAACTGAACACACATGGCCACACAACACAACCTACACCAAGTGACTCACAATTCCCAACAAGTTCTGAAACCCACAGCCACACCCAGACACCACATACATGGTGTGACACACTCCGGCACTCAGTGCGGAAGCAGACAGCGCCCCATGGCACACACAGCCACCCAAATATTGTCTACACACAGGCACAGACACTGCGATCAAAATGGGCATTGCCTGACACACTCCCAGCCACACCCAGACACCACATACTTGGTGCACACACATAAGCTACACAAGCACAACATAGAGCAAGTGTTCCGCAAACACATAGATTGTGTTGACATAGCGGTGCCCAAACGCCACACACACACATATCGGTGTTAACAGTGCACTCTCAGAGTCCCACGCATGACATACCTGGGGCATGATATCCAACACGTGCAGACACACAACACTTAGGGACACCCCATGGCAGTCCCCATCACCCAGCACATGGAAAACTGCACACGGACACACGTCATGCACATGGCGACTCACACGGATGCTCGGAGGCTGGTTCACAGCGCACACAGTGTGCCCCCATCCATGTGCCATTCTAGTGTGTAATCGGAGAGCAGTGTGAATGGACGCAGGCAGAGACTTACACTGTACAGCGACACACAGAATCCCTAACAGCACGGGCCCAGCGTAAGACATCACAGAGGACACAACCCAGAATCGTGCCCCTGGGAAGGGGGCACAGGCTCCATGCACCCCAGGGCCCAAATGCAATGTGTGCAGAGGAAAACATGTACCACTGCCTCTGACGGACAAGCCACATCCAGGCACCGTGTATGGCAGCTAACACGTGGCCCTGCCCTCCATCTACTGCACCACGCACGACCACACAAATGCAGCACGCACAGGGAAATACGCAAAGACACAGCGACACTAAACACATCCACACCACACTGCCCCACACCGCCTTTGACAAACACCACGTGTCACATGACTCAGCAGATGGGACCCACGGGCACAGCTGAGAGGCCTGCAACAACCCCACACGGAACACCAGAGGACACCCTGCGGCACAATGCAATACACAGCCTCACAAACACAACACACACTGAGTGTGGGCACCCAGGTCGGTACTGGCAGGGAAAGGAGAGGCCCCCAACAAGGACAGGCACCTCCACATAATACAAACGGTCACCTCACTGAATGACCCACAGCTTTACACAGACAGCACCCAGAGAGACACACACCACACACTGACACACAGAATAATAGCACACACAGTGCAGGGTCTGACCACATCTGGGAGGCACAAATCAAAAGCCTCCTACGGCAACACACGGGGACAGCCTGGCACGGTGACACACTCACCTCGCACAGCGTCACACACTGATCTCTCGACACACCGGTGGCCCCAGGGACACCACGCTTGGGGGAACACAGAGCCATAACCCCTCTCCTCATTCGTGTCCTATGTCCTGCAGAAACCCAGACCCGCCAGCCACAGGGAAATGAGACATGCACAGACGTGCCTGGCAACACACTAACACAACCCACACAGACACACCCAGAGACACCAAACCACACACACAGACCCTCCCAGTGACAAAAACACAACCCGTGCCGGGCCCTGCCCCGTGGCACACATGGCTTTCACTGGGGGAGACACACCCGGGCACACTCAGACGCCACACACGCGTCTGCTCGGAGAAACCGCTGCTGCTGGGCACTCTTAGGGCTGAGCCTAAGTGCCCTGGCACCTGCCGCCCTTGGGCCTGGCACGGATCCCGTGTGCCTCTCCCCTCCTGGTTCTCAGGGCCTCCCCTCTCACTCCTCTCTTAGTCTCTCCGGCTCTAGAAACCTCTGGGTTCATTTTCATTTCTGCCTCCTGTCTTTCTCAGTCTGTTTTTCTCTCCTTTTATGCCTTTGTCTCTTCCTACCTCTCTGTCTCTGCCTCCCTCAGCTCCGTGTCTCTGTGTGTCTCTTAGTATCTCTGTCTTCATTTTCGTGTCCCTCTGCTTTCCTTTATTCTTGCTCCCTGTCGCTATCTCTCTGCCTCCACCTCCCTCTCTGTGTTTATCGATGTCTGCATCTGTGTTTGTCTGTTTCCATCTCTGTCTCCGCTCTTTTCTATCTCATTTCTCTGTCTCTGTCTCTTGCTGACTCTGGTCTCTCTGTCCATGTCCGTATCTCTGTTTCTCTCCCGGCCTTTTCCAGTTCCACCCCACCCCACTCAGGGGCCAAGGGCCAGAGACACAGAGACTGCCCGAGAGAGTCAGAGCCACGGACAGAGACCTCCGGCACCAGCCCCTCCACAGCGGTGCCTCAGGGCAGGCACCGGGGAAACCGACACAGGGAGAGACACCCAGAGTCCTTAGTGGTGCAGCCAGGTGTGTGTGTGTGTGTGTGTGTGTGCGCGTGTGTGTGTGTGAGAGAGAGAGAGAGAGATTGAAAAGGAGGAGGGGAGGAGAAGAGGGAGAGAGAATGAATTAAAAGCAAAGCAGAGATGGAGAGAGAAGAGACCCAGAGGTAAAGAGAAAGCAGAAACCAGAATCAAGACAGGAAGTTATTGCAGAGAGATTTTGTCTTCAAAGAGACCACGACTGAGACAAAAGGAGCAAAGACTGGACATGACGGTGGGTAGCAATGGGCACACAGTGGGAAGGGCACCTGTCTCCAAATTGAAGTTCCAGGCTGTGGGGGTCAGTGTGTAGGAAACCTGGCTTGAGCCGGCTCCCTCCAGTCCAGGGAGGGGCTGAGCTGGGCGGTGGGGGTGACTCAGGGCCCCAGAGCTTCCTGTGACTCAGCCTTGGTCTCAATCTGGAGGGGGTGGAGGGGAGGAGGGGTCTCTGTAAAAGGGAGGAAGTAAGGGGCACCAGAGGGCCTCTGTGCCTAGGCTGGCCCCTAGGGGGGGACTGCGAGCTACTGCAGGGACTGAGGGGAGGAGCAGACGGGGGGGTGTGGACTCTGGGGCCCAGACTCCTGAGTCTGAGAAAGAAGGGGGCCGGGGGCCCAGACTCCTGGTTCAGAGAAACCAGAATAACTGATTCCAAAGTCCCTGGGACTTTTTGCTGGCCTCGCCCCAGCTGCCCCACCTTCCTCCCAGCCCCATCTCCGGGTCTGGAACAGACCCAGGTGCCTTGGGGCCCAGCCGGAAGGGGCTAAGGACAAAGGGTTGTTTAACTGCTCAGGGAGTGAAGAAGAGGGTGTCTCAGGCGGAAAGGTCACTCGTCGCCCAGGGCTGGTGCAGGGAAAGGCGGGGCTGAGCCGGGGGTAAGACATCCTGAAAGTCAGGCCTGTGGCTGCAAATCCTCCAGGGCCGGCAGTCTTTTGGATTAAGGCAGTGGGTGGCTTCAGGGCATCGAGCTGCTGCCACCTAGTGGTGGTCTTGGGAACTGCAGGAACTCTGCTTGTCTAGCCTAGTTTCCCGTCAACATACATTGAGCACCTACTGAGTGCAGGTACTGCTCTAAGCATTGAGGGTATAGTAATAATAAAACAGACAAAATCCCTGTCCTCACGGAGCTCCCGAGCTAAAGGAAGTCTGGTGGTTTTGTCAATCTCGCTCTCTTGCGCTGGCTTTCACTCTGGCTCCATATTTGCTTCTTTTTCTCTGCGTATCTCACTGGCCTTGCTTCTCAGTTTCTGTCTCTTGGCCTCTGTCTGCAATGGCTTGTCTTTTTCCTTCCTCCTTTTTTTCTTTCCCTCTGTTTTTTGTTTATTTTCTTCTTTGTATCTTTTTTTTTGTTAAATATGTTTTATTGCTTTTTTTACAGAGAGGAAGGGAGAAGGATAGAGAGTTAGAAACATCGATCAGCTGCCTCCTGCACCCCTCCTGCTGGGGATGTGCCTGCAACCAAGGTACATGGCCTTGACTGGAATCAAACCTGGGACCCTTCAGGTTGCAGGCTGACGCTCTATCCACTGAGCTAAACCAGTTAGGGCCTTTGTATCTTTTAAAATATATATATTTTATTGATTTTTTACAGAGAGGAAGGTAGAGCGATAGAGAGTTAGAAACATCGATGAAAGAGAAACATCGAGCAGCTGCCTCCTGCACACCTCCTACTGGGATGTGCCTGCAACCAAGGTACATGCCCTTGACTGGAATCGAACCTGAGACCTTTCAGTCTGCAGGCCGATGCTCTATCCACTGAACAAAACTGGTTAGAGCTCTTCTTTGTATCTTTTTGTTCCCCGTCAATTAACAATGATGTCTATTACTATGTTAAATTAGCTATCATAATTATGTGTTAATATACAACTATGTATTAATTCTATATAATTATGTATTAATATATAACTATGTATTAATTCTATATAATTAGGTATTAGTATATAATTATACATATATCAATCTGGGAGTCTAGAGACCTTGGTTCAAGCCTTGCTTGACATGGCCACCGACTTTCTTTTTCTGTGGGACATAATGCATATAATCCTGGTTTATGTCTTTATTTTGTAAAATATGTTTTTATTGACTTTCGAGAGAAAGAAAGGGAGGGAGGGACTTTATATTCACTTGAGGACATGTTTTATTGATTTTTAGAGAGAGTGAAAAACATCAATGTGAGAGGGAAACATTGATCGGCTGCCTCTCTCAGGCACCCCAACCAGGGGCTGACCCCACAACCTGGGCATATGCCCCAATCTGGAATCAAACCAGCAACCTTTAGGTGCAAGGGATGACACTCAACTAACCAAGCCATACTGGCCACAAACCTGAGCTCTCTATTCCTAGCCGGGTGTCCTACGAGACCTCTAAAATGGGGGTGATAATAGCAAGGTCACAGGGTTGCTTGAGGATTAGGTGAGATGGACTATCCGAACCCTGGCCTATGTGGGCCACTCGTGGTACATTGCCTGCCCTCTCTGTTCTGGCGTGTGGCTTCTCTCACTGAGTGGTAGGCTCTCTGTCCTTTCTCCTTCAATCTGGCTGGCTTGTGACTTGCTCTCAACCGTAGAATATGGCAGAAATGATGCTGGGCTGGTTCCAGGTCCAGTTCTTAAGAGAACTCAATGCTGCTGCCTTTGTGCTCTTAGAACGCTAAGACTGCCATGCTGTGAGGAAGCCCAAGCTAGTCAGGTGGAGAGGTCGTGCAGAGAAGAATCGAGGCACTTGGCCAGAAGCCCCAGTCCAGCCCCAACTAAATGCAGCTGCCTGAGTGACCTCTAGAGAGACCAGCAAAGGTGCCCTTTAACCCTCAGCATCATGAGAAATAATGAGAAAAAACACTTTTTATGTTAAGACACTGAATTTTGGGGTGGTTTGTTACACAATAACAATAAATGTTATACTCTTCTGCTCACTTCTATGTTTGGAGTTTTCCATAATAAAAGAATACATATGAATATATATACCATCTACAGGGAGCCCCCCAAAATGTATACACACTTCAACAGCTGATAGCTCAATTTTGAAAATGAAATGTATTTTAATAAACACTGCCTTTATAATTATTCAAAGTGTGCGTGTACATTTTGGGGGAAACCCTATATATGAATAGGTAATGGACTAGATCAGGGGTGGGCAAACTTTTTGACTCGAGGGCCACAATGGGTTCTTAAACTGGACCGGAGGGCCGGAACAAAAGCATGGATGGAGTGTTTGTGTGAACTAATATAAATTCAAAGTAAACATCATTACATAAAAGGGTACGGTCTTTTTTTTCCAATAGTTTTATTCATTTCAGATGGGCCGGATCCGGCCCGCGGGCCGTAGTTTGCCCACGGCTGGACTAGATCATAAAAACTGCCTTTATGAATTGCAGCTAGTATCATTTGCATCTATCTTTAATACACACACACACACACACACACACACACACACTCACACACACTAGAGGCCTGGTGCATGAAATTCATGCACTGGGGATGAGGGTGTCCCTTAGCCCAGCCTGCACCCTCTCCAATCTGGGACCCCTTGGGGGATGTACGAC